TTATTATTTTTCAAAATTTGTAATTCCCAACGCTATAGTTCGGTGCTGTCAGGGTACTCTAAGGAGTTACAAATCTTGCCTCCAAATATGACTGTTCAAATACTTGTACTTTTCGAGATATGACGTTTTTTGTGATTTTTTCAAAAAAAAATTTAGAAACTTAAATTAATTATTTTTCTCTAAAATTTTGAAATTTCACAGCCTTGTAGTTGGGTGCTGTCAGAGTACTCTCAAATATTACGAGTCTTGCGTCCAAATATGATTGCTCAATTCCTTGTAGTTTTCGAGATATGGCGTTTTTTGTGATTTTTTCAAAAATTTTTTTAGAAAACTTATTAATTTTTTTTCACAAAATCTGAAATTCCCAACCCTGTAGTTGTGTCCTGTCAGAGTACTCTCAAATATTACGAGTCTTGCCTCCAAATATGACTGCTCATTTCCTTGTAGTTTTTGAGATATGGCGTTTTTTGTGATTTTTTCAAAAATTTTCAGAAAGTTCAAATTTATTTTTTTTCAAAATTTGAAATTCCCAACGCTATAGCTCGGTGCTGTCAGGGTACTCTAAAGAGTTGCAAATCTTGCCTCCAAATATGACTGCTCAAATCCTTGTAGTTTTTGAGATATGGCGTTTTTTGTGATTTTTTCAAAAATTTTCAGAAAGTTTAAATTTATTATTTTTCAAAATTTGAAATTCCCAACGCTATAGTTCGGTGCTGTCAGGGTACTCTAAAGAGTTGCAAATCTTGCCTCCAAATATGACTGCTCAATTCCTTGTAGTTTTCGAGATATGGCGTTTTTTGTGATTCAGAAAGTTCAAATTTATTTTTTTTCAGAATTTGAAATTCCCAACGCTATAGCTCGGTGCTGTCAGGGTACTCTAAAGAGTTGCAAATCTTGCCTCCAAATATGACTGCTCAAATCCTTGTAGTTTTTGAGATATGGCGTTTTTTGTGATTTTTTCAAAAATTTTCAGAAAGTTTAAATTTATTATTTTTCAAAATTTGAAATTCCCAACGCTATAGTTCGGTGCTGTCAGGGTACTCTAAAGAGTTGCAAATCTTGCCTCCAAATATGACTGCTCAAATCCTTGTAGTTTTCGAGATATGATGTTTTTTGAGATTTTTTCAAAAAATTTCAGAAAATTTTATTAATTGTTTCTCAAAATTTGAATTTCCCAGCCTTATAGTTGGGTGCTGTCAGAGTACTCTAAAGAGTTACAAATCTTGCCTCCAAATATGACTGTTCAAATACTTGTACTTTTCGAGATATGACGTTTTTTGTGATTTTTTCAAAAAAAAAAAATTTAGAAACTTATATTAATTTTTTTTCTCCAAAATTTTGAAATTCCCAGCCTTGTAGTTGGGTGCTGTCAGAGTACTCTCAAATATTACGAGTCTTGCCTCCAAATATGATTGCTCAATTCCTTGTAGTTTTCGAGATATGGCGTTTTTTGTGATTCAGAAAGTTCAAATTTATTTTTTTTCAAAATTTGAAATTCCCAACGCTATAGCTCGGTGCTGTCAGGGTACTCTAAAGAGTTGCAAATCTTGCCTCCAAATATGACTGCTCAAATCCTTGTAGTTTTTGAGATATGGCGTTTTTTGTGATTTTTTCAAAAATTTTCAGAAAGTTTAAATTTATTATTTTTCAAAATTTGAAATTCCCAACGCTATAGTTCGGTGCTGTCAGGGTACTCTAAAGAGTTGCAAATCTTGCCTCCAAATATGACTGCTCAATTCCTTGTAGTTTTCGAGATATGGCGTTTTTTGTGATTCAGAAAGTTCAAATTTATTTTTTTTCAAAATTTGAAATTCCCAACGCTATAGCTCGGTGCTGTCAGGGTACTCTAAAGAGTTGCAAATCTTGCCTCCAAATATGACTGCTCAAATCCTTGTAGTTTTTGAGATATGGCGTTTTTTGTGATTTTTTCAAAAATTTTCAGAAAGTTTAAATTTATTATTTTTCAAAATTTGAAATTCCCAACGCTATAGTTCGGTGCTGTCAGGGTACTCTAAAGAGTTGCAAATCTTGCCTCCAAATATGACTGCTCAAATCCTTGTAGTTTTCGAGATATGATGTTTTTTGAGATTTTTTCAAAAAATTTCAGAAAATTTTATTAATTGTTTCTCAAAATTTGAATTTCCCAGCCTTATAGTTGGGTGCTGTCAGAGTACTCTAAAGAGTTACAAATCTTGCCTCCAAATATGACTGTTCAAATACTTGTACTTTTCGAGATATGACGTTTTTTGTGATTTTTTCAAAAAAAAAAATTTAGAAACTTATATTAATTTTTTTTCTCTAAAATTTTGAAATTCCCAGCCTTGTAGTTGGGTGCTGTCAGAGTACTCTCAAATATTACGAGTCTTGCCTCCAAATATGATTGCTCAATTCCTTGTAGTTTTCGAGATATGGCGTTTTTTGTGATTTTTTCAAAAATTTTCAAAAGTTCAAATTTATTATTTTTCAAAATTTGAAATTCCCAACGCTATAGTTCGGTGCTGTCAGGGTACTCTAAAGATTTGCAAATCTTGCCTCCAAATATGACTGCTCAAATCCTTGTAGTTTTCGAGATATGATGTTTTTTGAGATTTTTTCAAAAATTTTTAGAAAATTTTATGAATTGTTTCTCAAAATTTGAATTTCCCAGCCTTATAGTTGGGTGCTGTCAGAGTACTCTCAAATATTACGAGTCTTGCCTCCAAATATGATTGCTCAATTCCTTGTAGTTTTCGAGATATGGCGTTTTTTGTGATTCAGAAAGTTCAAATTTATTTTTTTTCAAAATTTGAAATTCCCAACGCTATAGCTCGGTGCTGTCAGGGTACTCTAAAGAGTTGCAAATCTTGCCTCCAAATATGACTGCTCAAATCCTTGTAGTTTTCGAGATATGATGTTTTTTGAGATTTTTTCAATAATTTTCAGAAAATTTTATTAATTGTTTCTCAAAATTTGAATTTCCCAGCCTTATAGTTGGGTGCTGTCAGAGTACTCTAAGGAGTTACAAATCTTGCCTCCAAATATGACTGTTCAAATACTTTTACTTTTCGAGATATGACGTTTTTTGTGATTTTTTCAAAAAAAATTTTAGAAACTTATATTAATTTTTTTCTCTAAAATTTTGAAATTCCCAGCATTGTAGTTGGGTGCTGTCAGAGTACTCTCAAATATTACGAGTCTTGCCTCCAAATATGATTGCTCAATTCTTTGTAGTTTTCGAGATGGCGTTTTTTGTGAATTTTTCAAAAATTTTCAGAAAGTTTAAATTTATTATTTTTTAAAATTTGAAATTCCCAACGCTATAGTTCGGTGCTGTCAGGATACTCGAAAGAGTTGCAAATCTTGCCACATGCGACAGCTAAACGCGACTGCTCAAATGCTTCAAGTTTCTGAGATGTGACGTTTTTTGTTTTTTCAAAATTTCTCAAAGAACTTACCTACAAAGAAATTCGAAAAAATTGAAACTACTAACTTGATGAAGATACAACCTTATTGTCAGCGTAAATCCAAGTGTCTCAAATCTTGACTCTTAATATGAATGCTCAATTCCTTTTAGTTTCCGAGATAAGACGTTTTTTTTCGGGAAATTTAGGTTTAAAAAAATTCACAAAATTTTGGATTCCTAACCCTATAGTAGGGTCCTCTCAGTGGTTGCAAATATGGCCTCCAAATTTCTCCAGAGGCCCACTAAGTTTTCGAGGTGACGCTTTTAAAATGGGAATTAAAAAAATTAAAAGTTCGAAATTACCAACCCTGTAATTGGGTGCAGTCAGAGTACACTAAAAGTTTGCAGACGTTGTTTCCAATATTGCGGTTTTTCATGAGTTGTCGAAAATTTTCGAGGCGCCGAAGGTGCGTTAAACGCTAGTTGTATCTTCTATTGATACAATTTTCTCCAATTATGCTAATTTTATCAAAAAAATTGTGAATGATAAGTTGTTCTAGAAATTCAAAGAGTTTTGAGGCCATCTATTGTTTTCTTAAATGAATTCTGAAGATGAGATTTTTCAAAAAAAACAAGTCGGTTTTTTTTGCGATCAAGTTATGGGTGTTCACACTTGCGAAGCAAAGTGTATTAGTACGAAATTTCTTTTTTTTCCAATCTAAGTCGCAAATAAAAGTACTACTTTTGTTGGCGCTTTTGAATCGGTAGGCTGCGATCGTAGTATAATATCATATGTGCTTTGACATTTGATAAGTAAAAAGTTAACACAGCTGATGAATTTTTAAATCATGAAATGAACCGGAAAGTTATTTGTTTCAAACTGCAGTGCAATGAGAAAAAGCTCGATTTCAGAAACTTTCCAACCCAATGTATTTCGGAATTTTTTTGAAATGCATATGTTATACATAATTTGGCTTTATGCTTTCCAAGTTATTTCATGCAAATTTGCGTCTTCTGGTATTTGGTGCTATTTTGCTGCATCGAATTGGCAATTCATTAGCATATGTAGCTGCCTTAATGGTGGCTGTTTTTTTGCGGATTTAAATGTCCGTGGCTCAGTGGTTAGTGTGTGAGATTCAAATTTGCTAGGTTGCAGATTCGAATGCGACACGTAGCCGAGTTTTTGCTACTTGAGTCTTATTTCTACTTTTTCTCATTTCGCTTGATAGAGCTGCTTTTTGGTCGTGTTCTCGCAAGTATTTGCGAAGCGCAACTTCTGAAATTTGCCATTTGGGCTAGCTTGAGACAATTTACTTTAAGTTTGTCTGAATAATTTGTGAGCGTCGATGCAATACGGCTCAGTAATTGTACCGAATTGATTTGGAAAATATTTGGAGTTTCTAAAACCTTGCTAGACGTATAGTACATCTTTTTGTACTTAACATAGCGTGCGCTGGGAAAGGGTATTTTTAACAACATTTTTTCAAAACTGTTTCGTAGCCCTAAATGGCGGTCGGAGCATTCAGGAATTTGATCTGATGTGGGCAGTCTTGTATTTGTTTGCTGCATTTTTATTCATATGCGCAAGTTATTGAATAATTTATTGCTGTTTCTTCAGATCAACCTTGCTCGAGATGAAAAGGTAGGGTATTGGGCAATATTTTTGTTTGCCCGCTGCACGCTTGTGAGTGTGATTTATAATTACTTGATTGTGTGCTTGTTTCATATGTGCATGTGCAGATGGGAGACAATCGGGATCAATTGAGCAATCTCCCCCATTCCGTTATGACCAATTGAGCTATCTTACCCCCCCCCCCCCAAGGAAAAACGTCAAAACACTATAAAAGACGTTTTCAAACGCGAGCAGGTGGTTGAAGTGTATATAAATCGCAATCGATTGGCCGACTGAATTTTTTTATGTGTCGAGAAAATATTTGAAAAAAAAAATCAATTTTTTTATCCGCTTTTATATATGGGGGATCATAGCTTCGTGGTAAACAAATTACCAGGGTGAGTTCTCTGACCTCTATTTATGCCAAAAAAACCCTACAGCATCCTAATAATGTTTGCAATTGCACACTTTCTTCAAACAAAACAGGAAACAGCCAATTTGATATGCGACTTATTTGGCCCCTTTTTTCGCTCTGAATCTAGTTTTTGAGTTTCATAACGTGTTTTTTGGTTTTCCGCGTTCGTAGAAGAATATGGCGTATAGTTTAAATACAATTAAATGTAGTTCAACTAGTTATAAACATGCCACATGCCTCAAGTACCTATTGGGTTATTTCCCCCCACGCGTGAATGGGGGGGGGGGGATTGCTCAATTGATCCACAAATCGTAACTGGCGAAAGTTTGTAACAAGCAACAATTTGTAACAGGTTAAGTAGCGACTGCTTGCTCCGCTGTGCTTAAATACTGTACGATACGTATAATGTTTGCGAATCATTGTTTGCCGATCAACCAGCTATTACGAATTGTCGACTTTTACAAACTGTTGTCTGTTACGAATTGTCGCCTCAGCCATATGACTGTATCGTATGTGGGAATTTTTCATGGGGGGATTAAAAAATTGTGGCTTCTTATAGGCTAGTCATTTCCATTTTTTCTTAAGATCTATCTGAGCTCGAATGGCCATTTTTGAAATTAGTTTGCTCTAGACAATTTGTTAAAGGAAATAACGCTTTTTTGCTAAAAAAATGTTCTTCAAATTAAAATTCTTGGGATCTGTCGGTAAAAACTCCGTGATAGTTAAATAGAACAATTAAACCAATGGTGTACCGTGTACGTTTTTAACAACCTTTGGCAGCCAGAATAGGGGAGTTTCCCCACCCACTTACACACTCGCATCCATCATCCACACGATCAAGTAAGTTCTAAGAGAGAAATCTCATAACAAAACGGTAGTTTCAAAACTATATATTGGTCGATCAAACTCATTCACCACAGTATAGCTAATATATCCAAAAAACAGTAACTAATATATCCAATAACCGCATGAATAGTGTTCTGTTTTTAGAACCAGTCGCACTCTTCGAGACCCTCGACTTTCAGTCACAGGAACCAAGCAGATGATTTAGGTGCCCAGTCGGCTTCAGAAGTCAATTGTTCATCGCCCTCTGTCGTGTCTGAGTCGGTCAAAAGCACAGGTAAGTTGTTGGATCTATTGCTGTTTGATGAAAACAGGTATAATGAAAAGTATAGGATTTGGTTTTTATTATGATTTTTTTTGAGAAGCTTTGGAAAAAATTTTTGCTTTTCTCAAAAACTACTCTGTGAGCATGCAGAATCCGCTAGTCTCTTATCACCTTACCCCATTTTCTACAGCCTTCAAAAAAGGCTGTGGGGGGAGGGGAAATATTTTGGATCAGAATTTTTGGATTTTTTGTCATTTTCTCAAAAACTACATTGGCCAAATCTGAGATTTTGGGTCCAATAGGTAGAACGGGCTGTGTGAAGCTCCTCTGCATAAGCGACTACCCAATTTTTGGCCGTTTCAAACTTTTCTCAAAAACTACTCTCCCAAATCTAAGATTTTGATTTCAATCGATAGGATGGATATTGAGAAGCTCCACTGCATTAGCACCTGCGATCAATTTTTTTAAAGAAAACTTTCACGAGAAAACTTTTCGCTTTGCAACTTGATTTTTCTCAAACTTTACCCTCCCAAATATGAGATTTTGTGTTCAATGGAGAGAACGAGTTGTGTTATCGTCCTCGGAAAAGACATCTTATCTATACTATTTTTAAATGCGTGTGACAGCTATCTCTCATGTTTAGGCATAATAATTTTGCTTAACGAACGAATTTTTTCACGTTTAAGCTATATCATTTATTGCAATGTTTAAAAAAATTTTCGATGAACTTTCCGCAAGGTCATTAATTTTTCAGCAATTTTTTTCGAGGTCAAATTAAGTCTGTCTGTCTGTATACCTGCTTTTTCATCTGTCTATTATCTATTATATCTATCATATATTTAAATGCGGGCGTCACTATCTCGCCATGTTGAAGCCTTTTCAACGTATGATTTTTGCATGTTTAACAAAAGAACTTTTGCACGTCTAAGCTATATCGTCTATTGCAATGGTCAAGATTTTTTTTTCAATTTTCCAGTTTTAATTTAGTGTTTATTTCATCAAGTCTGAAATAAGCAACCCAATAGTGGGATTCTGTCAGGGTTTTCCCAGGTTTTGCGATTCTGGCCTCCGTATATGAATAAGCAAATCCTTTTAGTTTATCAGATAAGACAATTTTCGAGATTTTTCAAAAATTTCAAGGAATTTTTTTTATTTTTGAAGTTCTCACCCTGTAAATGGGTGCTGTTAGGGTACTCTCAGGGATTGCGAGTCTTGCCTCCAAATCTCACTTATCAAATCCTTGTAGTTTTTGAGATATGAGGTTTTTTATGATTTTTTCAAAAATTTTCAAAAAAAATCTTAGATTTCAAAATCTTCCAAAACTTTGATCTGAATCATGTTGTTGGAAATTGAGAGTGTACTCTCAGAAGTTGCGAAAACTGCCTCTGAATTTGGCTGCTCAAATTCTTTTTTTTTTGAGATACTACGTTTTTTTAGGACTTATTCAAAATTTTTCAAAAAAACTCAGATATAAAAAATTTCACGAAATTTGAAAGTCCCGTCCCTGTAGTGAGGCTTTGTCAGGGTCTCTCAGGATTTGCTAATTTTGTCTTCAATTATGACTGCTCAAAACTTTGTAGTTTTCCAGATGTAGTTGACCCAAAAAGTTATATCGTCCTTGAAACGGTCATATTTGTGACTTTTTGACCATTTTTTTAAACTTGACTTTTCTCGAAAACTACCCTCCTAAATCTGAGTTTTTGAGTTCAATCGAAAAAAAAACAGTTTAGGTGAATCTCTCATGCATTAACGGCTACGCCCATTTTCCTCACAAAAAGTTATGATCCTCGGAAAAGTCAAATATTTGATTTCTTGACCGTTTTTCGAAACTTGGGACTTTTCTCGAAAACTACTATTCTAAATCTGAATTTTGGGCTCAATCTAAGGAGCAGGTGTGAAGCTCCCTTCTATACGGGGCTATGCCCAAAGTCTTTTACAAAAAAACATGGCAATCGGAAAATAAGCAAATATTGATTTTTTGACCGTTTTTTGAAAATTTTTGACTTTGAATTACCATCACAAATCTGATGTCGTTGGGAAATTACGAATTCTCAAATAATTTCACTCTTTTTTTTAGAGAAACAACAAAGTTTTTGAGTGAAGCCTGTTTTTTGAGATTATCCATTTCCAGCATCAGTACCACAAATTCAAAAATTATCAAACAGGTAGCTTTAGCTGGGCCCCTAGTTAAACATCGTCATCAACGCGACATCCGAAAACAAGTGAGAATAACACACAATAAGAAACCGCAGTTTAAAAATTGGTCTGATCTTTTACTAGGAAATATTGCTATCTAGTGTGTGAATTAATAACGCTGCTTAAGTAAATATATTGAAATTTTGTAAAACCATTTTTTGCTTTTTCGAATGTTTCCGCACACGGCTGTCTTCCTTAAAGATATGATTTTTTTTGTATTTGTGTTCAACCATCGAAAGTCACGATTGGATTTGAGAGTAGCTTCACATGGCTATCTTCACCTTTAATTTTACCATTTTAGATTCATCAGAGCCTGGCAGTAAACAAGAATTATTGGCAACTTCCAGTGCATCCAACGGAGGAATACTTCGTGGAACTCCTGCTCTCGAGTAAGTGTATACAGTGGATTCTCTGATATTCTTTTTCTTAAATAATCTCAGAGTGAAAAAAAGTTATGCATGGTTATGGTTCAGGGTGGATCAAGTTCTGAAAATTAATCAAACTGCTCATCACTCTTGGCACTCTAAAGTCTAGAAACTGAGTTACAGTCTTACTTTAAATGTATTTTACCCTATTTCATCTCCTGGTTTTTTCTGTTGGAAATAGTCCACATGACATATTTTGAGCATGTTAGCATTTTTAAAAGCCATCCTAAACGCTTTTTTTTGTTGGTTACAGTTTTACCAATTTGCTTTTTAAAATTTCATTTTTTTCCGGCTTAATTGGTTTCGCCCTATTTTATATCGGCTTAGTGGCCTCATATTGCGCCGCCTGATGCGCAAAAAAAAGTTTTTTTCCATGCTTGTGTTTTGAGGGGGAAATTTTAGCCTGACTGGTTGCTGCTCAGTTATTTTCGGCTTTGTTACCGCTTGGTAAGATTTTTTTTTCATTTTCCTGTTTTTGCATTCTTTTGTCTGGACATTTTTTCTGAATTGTGTATCCCACCTTGCATTCAATAAATTTTTGGCGCTCGTGGATACCACGGTTACAATACATGTATTTTTTCCAATACGCGTATGCCGAAAATTTTGTTTGATTTACAGCTTATTTTGGCTGTCTGCACATTTACCTAATACGTTGTTTCCTTCAAATCTTAGTTTATTTATGAGATCGATCAAAATCTGGCCCTATTTTTTTGAATCCTCAAGGTCGAACCCACTTATACGTCTTTAAAAGTATTTAATAGATTTACACATAAAAACATTCGATTTTTTATTTCGGTTTTCTAGCTCTTTCTTTACTTTTCTGATTAGCAAGCGTTATCTAATCGGAATATAGACCTTTAAAGAGTCGATGAACGTAGTTTAGACTCTTATACAGGTCGTGATATTTTTTTGATTTTTCAGGAAATTTGTAGTTGTTCTGGCTCAAAATTATTTTTTTTTGCGATTTGACTTTTGATATTTTTAGTTCAGTTTATTTCCGTTGTTGAAAGGAAAGAGAACTCCACTATCGAACAGCAAAAGTGTAAAGGCCACAAAAAACGTGATCGACTTCTAGTTTCGAAAGTTATTTAGTTTTCAGATTTCCCAGCGAAATAAAACTTTACTTCTCGATCTAGTTTTGTAAGTGGGTTACTTTTTTCGAGAAAAGTGTTAATCATAACTAGTTCTAGAAATTTGGAGGAGCTTTGATGCCATACATTTTTTTCTGTATGCGTTTTTTTCTGTATACTTGCCCTCATTGACGCTTATCCGAAGTTTTGCTGGCTATTTTTCGGATTAGCAACTAGTTCAACAAAATCGTTTGAATCATTTATGATTCTGCTATGCTGCTAACATGCTTAAATTAATGAAACATAGCCAGTTGGAAAAGAGTCATAAACGAAAGGAAACAAACTTCGTTTTTCGAATTTCAATTAAAAAAATATATGGCCTTAAGACTTTTTGAGTTTCAAAAACAATTTATGCTTTTCTGGTAGATTTAATTCAATTAACTGTTGATCAATAGGTAAATTTTGTTATTCCGCTGGGAAATTGAAAAATTAAAAAACTCTTGAAACTAAAAGTCGATCACGTTTTTCGTTACCTTACCACTTTTGCTGTTCGATAGTGAAGTTTGCTTTCCTTCAAACAAAAAAATGAACTGAATTTGGGACAAAATCCAAAGTCATACCGCGAAAAATTAAATTTGAGCATGAACATTTTGCAAGACCTGCCTGGAAAAAATTACAAAAATCACCAACTGCTATCTAAGAATTCACTACGTTCATGACTCTTTCAAAACAAGTTTAACTACTGACTACTAGTTATTACTGGTGCATGCTTATCTAGAATTCAAAATAGTTTGTTTAATTCTTTCGATATTATTTTCCTACTGATGACTTTCCGTCTTCAAGGCTGTCGAATTAAGCTTGTTTTAGTTTCTACATAAAGTAGTCCACTTTGCATACGCTAAGTGGACTAATTATATCGCTAATTATTCGCTATCATTGATCCTATGTGGGCGATTGTCAGCTTATTGCCCTAAAAATCTCCGGCAAAACTTTTGAGATTGACTCTGGCACCATTTTTGAATGATTATAATCAGACCCACTAGGACTTCCTGAATATTCAGTTCTTTCTCCAATTACAATTTTCAGTTCTTTCTCCAATTACAACATAAAAAATTATATTTTTAAGAGTAATGAACGTAGTGAAGACTCTAATATTGGTCTTGCTGATTTTTTTTTCAGGAAAGTCTTAAAGTGTCTAATAACTACAGATGTGCATTCATAGATATTGATGCATTTATGAATGCACTTAAGTATAAATTCACTTTTTGAATTCAATTAAAATTCATCTGCTGAAAGTGACGTAAATAGCACTCTCCAAATATGAACGTGGAAATGGCGCGAAAAAACGTGAACGGTTTCTAGTTTCAAAAGTGGAATTTATTCTTAAGATTTCCCAGGGGAATAAAAACTTGACCTATTGATCCAGTTTCCAGTTTTCTCTAATTGGGTTTATGTTATCAAAAAGCGCCGATCATAAATTGTTCTAAAAATTCAAAGGGCATCTACTATTTTTTTTTTTGAAATTCGAAAGTTGAAATTTTTTTAAGAGAGTCAGTGTTTTTTTTATATTTACATGCGTTCATTACTCTCTTTACCAATCTTCGATTGGCTATGTTTTGAGCAGAAGTTATGCAAAAATAGGTTTTCAGAGTTTTTTTTCAGATTTTCTTTAAGTTCTTTTTGTGGTAATTTGTAATTTTTGTATTCATGTGTTTTGTATTAATGTGAAATCAAAGTGTATTAGTACGAACTAGATATTTTTTCCAACCTAAGTCGCAAATAAAAGCGCTACTTTTGGTGGCACTTTTGAATCGGTAGGATGCGGTAGCAGTATAGTGTCATATGTGCGTTGACCATTTGATTAATAAAAATTTATTGCAGTTGATGCCTTTTTAATGAGGTCGTAGATTCGAAGTATATACGTAGCCGAGTTTTTGCTAATTCGAGGCTTTTTTCTGCCTTTTCTTATTTCACTTGATAGTGCTGCTTTTTGATCGCAGGCTGGAAAGTGTTTGCGAAGCGCCTGTGTTGAAATTTTTTTTTTTTTTCATTTTGAAATTATACTATAGCGGATAGGGCTTTTGTCCCCGATTGTTCTTATTTGATATGCAGATTGTGTGGTTGCAAGATTTAATGAACAGTTTTTGAGTACATTTAGGAATTATCGTATCTTAATTTTTGACCGAAATGTTTTCTTCTCATTTTCATCTATTGGTTATCAAACAGAAATGGATAGAGTTAAGCCCAAATTTTTCTTTTGTTTTGAAGGTAACTGACTTTTAGAACAATGCAATATTTTTTTTTGGTTTTTGAGCCTACGATTTTTTCAACTAAATTGATTCATGTTTTTCAATATCAGTTTAAGATAAATTATACTTGATTTTTGGAGCTTTATTAAGAGTAATGAACGTAGTGAAGACTCTTCTATAGGTCTTGCTGATTTTTTTTGGTTTTTTTTTCAGAAAAAATCTTAAAGTCTCTAATAACTACAGATCAGCATTCATACACATTGATGCATTTATGAATGCTTTTAATTATGTATACACTTTTTCAGCTCAATTGAAATTCAACTGCTGAAAGTGATGTAAAAAGCACTCTCCAAATACGAACGTGGAAATGGCGCAAGAAAAAACGAACTATTTCTAGTTCGAGAGTGGAATTTATTTAAAAGATTTCACAGCGGAGCAAAAACTTTACCTATTGATCCAGTTTTTTCAAGTTGGGTTCATGTTACAAAAAAGCGCCAATCATAATCTTAAAGGGCATTTATTTTTTCTTCGAACTTAATTGCGTTCATTACTGTTTTCCAATCTTCGATTGGCTATGTTCTCCTTTTTGAGCGCATGGTGCTTTCAGCCTATAATTGTTGAATCGCAAGTGGTGCGAAGCTCAGCTTCGCGTCGGTGTCAACAGTCGCATCGTTCCAAGTCCTCTTCGGTAGTTCTTGAGTGTCATGCTGTTTTAATCCTATACTTGTTGTATTGCAAGTGGTGCGAAGCCCAGCTTCGCCGCTGTTGAAAATATTTTCACAGATTTTCTATTCAGATCTTGTGTTTTCCAGGAGCTCCATTGCATCGGTTAAACTCCCAACTCTTGCCAACATGAATTTCACTGACTTGTGTGCAAGTTCAGCCATCGAGGTCTACGTGAAGAAGTATAACAACCACTTGTATATCATTTTTGAACTAACAGACCTGAATGTTGCCAAAAATCTTCAGCAAATGCTGAATGAAGCGGGCCAAAAAGCACCGACTGGTCTCATAGACTATGTCGTATCGGGCGAAGTTGTGATGGTCGAAAACGAGGAAGGTTCCGGAAGTTTCAAACGGAGCGTGGTGCGGATATTTGATATCGACACTGGCTTGGTTGTGTTGGAAGATCTGGACAGCTGTGAGCAGTTCACAGCTGCGGTGGAGGAGTTGAGACCTATAAATGACGAGTGCGTGGCCTTACCGGTGTCGTATTATCATGGGGCACTCGTCAATTGTGAGGTGAAAGAAATAATAATTAACAGTCGATTTTAACAAGAAGTGTAAATACTAATTTTTAAAGGGCGGTTAAATTAGGGCATAAATTACTTATTGTAAAGTAATTATAGCTACAATAACGTAAAAATTGAAGACGAAGTTAATTGGAAGTCAGCAAAATTGAGTTCAGTGTAATTCTATTGAGACTACTTATCAAAAAAAAATTTAAATCCAGATCAAGGCTGAAATGAGTTTAAGACTAATACCACGCTTGCCCCTCTACGAGCTAACTCTGAGGTTAATCAAAATCAGGAGGAAAAAACTATAATTTAAGCGCCGTAGAGGAAAACAGCTTGTTTCCCGAACCTAAATCAGATTTACTTATTTTTATCAAGAGTTATGAACGTAGTGAGTACTCTTGTATAGGTCTTGCTGATTTTTTTTTTCAGGAAACAGTTAAAATTTGTTCACGCTAAGAAGTTTTACGGAAGGTCAGTAGCGGAACGATCCTTATTAAGAGTCGATGAACGTAGTTCAGAGTCTTAAATAGGTCGCGATGATTTTTTTTTTCGTTTCTTTTTCAGGAAAAGTTTTAAATTGTGTTCAGGCTCAAATTTACTTTTTCGCGGTTTGACATGTGATTGCTTTTAAAGTTCAGCGCATTTATATTGTTGAAAGGAAGGCAAACTCCGCTATCGAACAGCAAAATTGTAAAGAACACGAAAAGCGTGATCGACTTCTAATTTCGAATATAGAAATTAATTATCAGATTTCCCAGCGAAATAAAAGTTTTGCCTATTGATCCAGTTTTCCCAAGTTGGGTAATTTTTATCAAAGAAATTGTCAATCATTCATGATTTTAGAAGTTTAAAGAGCCTTAAGGCCATCTATTTTTTTCTTCGAAGTTCATAAATTGAAGATTTTTGAAAAAACAAGTCAGTTTTTTTTCCGTTTCCTTGCGTTCATTTCTTTTCCAACTATCAGTTGGCTATGCTTTGTATTTGTAGCCGTTGCCAGGCAAGAATGACGATTTGAATGATATGTTGGCTGAGTTCCTGATGGGCGAGAGTGTCACTGAGCCCTTCCATGTCCAAGTGTACAGACAAATCTTCAACTGGGTCGACTTCGAGTTGTCCACAGGTAGCACATCAAGAAACAAAACTCTTGTCGTTTGGCAGCTTCCCAACTACTCGTAAAACAGAGAATTAAAGTAGTTGCGTAAGACATTGATGGTTAAGTTTGGCATGTTGATTTGTTCACCCATCAATCAAAAAGGAGGAGGACGAGTAGGCGGGCGACTAGAGCTCATATCTTCAACTCGTTTTCCTAATCATTTTGACGTGAGACCTTTTTGCCGCACATAAAACGTATATGTCACTCAGAATTTATTCATTGCAGTTAGATCAAGTTTCCTTAAATATTCGACATAATAGCTGAAAAATCAATTCTAATTCTGTTGATTTTTTTTTGAAAAACACTGAAGTTATTGGCTACGCCGAGAAATTGAAGTTTTTGTGGCCTAGAATGGTTTGAGGGGGAGTTAAATTTAAAAAGGTCCTTATCCGTTTCTTCTAGTAGCGACAGTTTTTATGTTTTTTGTTTCACAGATAGTTTGTCATGTTGATTGTTTTAGAGGAGAACGTGAAGGAGGGGTCCATTCCGCAGATCATGATCGATTACGAGATGGCAAGGAAGCCACAGACGGGTGAAGATTGGACCAGAAACAAGAGCATAGACCCCATCAAGATCAGCAAAGTCAGAATATTTACTACTGTAACTCTGTTTATAAGCTGGGTAAAATCAATGATATTTACCCTTGTGATTAGCCAGGGTACTGCAAGAGAGTACGAGACTTTTTCCTCGTAAACAAATTGGTTCACAGAATTCACTGTTTATTTTTGTAGCATATCAAGTTCTTGCTGCTGGTATGCCTTCATAGCGTAGAAGTAACTTACATGCTTGGGACGACAATAGCCTTGGTGCGAGTCCGGCCAGGAGCCTTAAGTGTTAGAGACTGAAAATTCTTTTGCTTCGAAATTGTAGTTATCTGAATATCGGTTGTCTGCTTTTTTTGCTTGCTAAGTTTTCACAGCATGGACTTTTCTTCGGACTTTTTCATTTTTACTATAAGTGAATGTCATTTGATTGATTGCTGCAATGAAGCGGGTAATTAAGTTCGGAAAATTTTTTCTCATTATTTAAAACTTTTCTACGATTTAAAAAAACTAAATTTTTTGCCAAATCTAATATCTATTATATATTTAAATGCGGGCTTCACTATCTCGCCATGTTTAAGCTTTTTCAACGCATTATTTTTGCATGTTTAAGCTGTATCGTATATTACAATGGTTAAGAATTTTTTTTTTCGATTTTCCAATTTGATTTTAGTGGTTATTTTATCAGTTTAAATTAAGCAGCCCAATATCGAATTAGGGGTTGCGAATTTGGCCTCCAATTTTGAATGCCCGAATCATTTTAGTTAACGAGACAAGGCGATTTTTGAGATTTTTTCAGAAATTTCAAATAACAAAATAATTTACAAAACTTGAAGTTCCCAACTCTGTAGTTGGGTGCTGTCAGATTACTCTAAGAGTTATAAATCTTGCCTCCAAATATGACTGTTCAAATCCTTGTAGTTTTCGAGATATGACGTTTTTTGTGATTTTTTTCCAAAAGTTTTCAGAAAACTTATATTAAATTTTTTTTCGCAAAATCTGAAATTCCCAACCCTGTAGTTGGGTCCTGTCAGAGTATTCTCGAAGGTTGCGAATCTTGCCTCCAAATATGACTGCTCAATTCGTTGCAGTTTTCGAGATCTGATGTTTTTGTGGTTTTTTCAAAAATTTTAAGAAACCTAAATAATTATTAGTTTTTAAAAATTTGAAAGTTGCAACCCTGTAGTTGGGTCCTGTCAGAGTAGTTTCAAAGATTGTGAATCTTGCCTCTAAATATGACTGCTCATTTCGTTGCAGTTTCCAAGATATGATGTTTTTGTGATTTTTTCAAATTTTTTAGAAAACTTAAATTATTATTAGTTTTTAAAAATCTGAAACTCGCATTCCTGTAGTTGGGTCCTGTCAGAGTATTCTCAAAGGTTGTGAATCTTGCCTCCAAATATGACTGCTCATTTCTTTGTAGTTTTCGAGATATGGCGTATTTTGTGATTTTTTTCAAAAAGTTTTCAGAAAACTTATATTAATTTTTTTTCGTAAAATCTGAAATTCCCAACCCTATAGTTGGGTCCTGTCAGAATATTCTCAAAGATTGCGAATCTTGCCTCCAAATATGACTGCTCAATTCGTTGCAGTTTTCAAGATATGATGTTTTTGTGATTTTTTCAAATTTTTAGAAAACTTAAATTATTATTAGTTTTTAAAAATCTGAAACTCGCATTCCTGTAGTTGGGTCCTGTCAGAGTATTCTCAAAGGTTGTGAATCTTGCCTCCAAATATGACTGCTCATTTCTTTGTAGTTTTCGAGATCTGATGTTTTTGTGGTTTTTTCAAAAATTTTAAGAAACCTAAATAATTATTAGTTTTTAAAAATTTGAAAGTTGCAACCCTGTAGTTGGGTCCTGTCAGAGTAGTTTCAAAGATTGTGAATCTTGCCTCTAAATATGACTGCTCATTTCGTTGCAGTTTCCAAGATATGATGTTTTTGTGATTTTTTCAAATTTTTTAGAAAACTTAAATTATTATTAGTTTTTAAAAATCTGAAACTCGCATTCCTGTAGTTGGGTCCTGTCAGAGTATTCTCAAAGGTTGTGAATCTTGCCTCCAAATATGACTGCTCATTTCTTTGTAGTTTTCGAGATATGGCGTATTTTGTGATTTTTTTCAAAAAGTTTTCAGAAAACTTATATTAATTTTTTTTCGTAAAATCTGAAATTCCCAACCCTATAGTTGGGTCCTGTCAGAATATTCTCAAAGATTGCGAATCTTGCCTCCAAATATGACTGCTCAATTCGTTGCAGTTTTCAAGATATGATGTTTTTGTGATTTTTTCAAATTTTTAGAAAACTTAAATTATTATTAGTTTTTAAAAATCTGAAACTCGCATTCCTGTAGTTGGGTCCTGTCAGAGTATTCTCAAAGGTTGTGAATCTTGCCTCCAAATATGACTGCTCATTTCTTTGTAGTTTTCGAGATATGACGTATTTTGTGATTTTTTTCAAAAAGTTTTCAGAAAACTTATATTAATTTTTTTTCGTAAAATCTGAAATTCCCAACCCTATAGTTGGGTCCTGTCAGAATATTCTCAAAGATTGCGAATCTTGCCTCCAAATATGACTGCTCAATTCGTTGCAGTTTTCGAGATACGATGTTTTTGATTTTTTCAAAAATTTTCAGAAAACTTAAATTATTATTAGTTTTCAAAAATCTGAAACTCGCAACCCTGTAGTTGGTTCCTGTCAGAGTATTCTCAAAGATTGTGAATCTTGCCTCCAAATATGACTGCTCAATTCTTTGTAGTTTTCGAGATGTGACGTTTTTTGTGATTTTTTTAAAAAATTTTTCAGAAAACTTATATTAATTTTTTTTCGTAAAATCTGAAATTCCCAACCCTATAGTTGGGTCCTGTCAGAGTATTCTCAAAGATTGTGAATCTTGCCTCCAAATATGACTGCTCAATTCGTTGCAGTTTTCGAGATACGATGTTTTTGATTTTTTCAAAAATTTTCAGAAAACTTAAATTATTATTAGTTTTCAAAAATCTGAAACTCGCAACCCTGTAGTTGGTTCCTGTCAGAGTATTCTCAAAGATTGTGAATCTTGCCTCCAAATATGACTGCTCAATTCTTCGTTGTTTTCGAGATATGACGTTTTTTGTGATTTTTTTCAAAAAGTTTTCAGAAAACTTATATTAATTTTTTTTCGTAAAATCTGAAATTCCCAACCCTATAGTTGGGTCCTCTCAGAGTATTCTCAAAGATTGCGAATCTTGCCTCCAAATATGACTGCTCAATTCGTTGCAGTTTTCGAGATACGATGTTTTTGATTTTTTCAAAAGTTTTCAGAAAACTTAAATTATTATTAGTTTTCAAAAATCTGAAACTCGCAACCCTATAGTTGGGTCCTGTCAGAATATTCTCAAAGATTGCGAATCTTGCCTCCAAATATGACTGCTCAATTCGTTGCAGTTTTCGAGATACGATGTTTTTGATTTTTTCAAAAATTTTCAGAAAACTTAAATTATTATTAGTTTTCAAAAATCTGAAACTCGCAACCCTGTAGTTGGTTCCTGTCAGAGTATTCTCAAAGATTGTGAATCTTGCCTCCAAATATGACTGCTCAATTCTTTGTAGTTTTCGAGATGTGACGTTTTTTGTGATTTTTTTAAAAAATTTTTCAGAAAACTTATATTAATTTTTTTTCGTAAAATCTGAAATTCCCAACCCTATAGTTGGGTCCTGTCAGAGTATTCTCAAAGATTGTGAATCTTGCCTCCAAATATGACTGCTCAATTCGTTGCAGTTTTCGAGATACGATGTTTTTGATTTTTTCAAAAATTTTCAGAAAACTTAAATTATTATTAGTTTTCAAAAATCTGAAACTCGCAACCCTGTAGTTGGTTCCTGTCAGAGTATTCTCAAAGATTGTGAATCTTGCCTCCAAATATGACTGCTCAATTCTTCGTTGTTTTCGAGATATGACGTTTTTTGTGATTTTTTTCAAAAATCTTTCAGAAAACTTATATTAATTTTTTTTCGTAAAATCTGAAATTCCCAACCCTATAGTTGGGTCCTCTCAGAGTATTCTCAAAGATTGCGAATCTTGCCTCCAAATATGACTGCTCAATTCGTTGCAGTTTTCGAGATACGATGTTTTTGATTTTTTCAAAAGTTTTCAGAAAACTTAAATTATTATTAGTTTTCAAAAATCTGAAACTCGCAACCCTGTAGTTGGTTCCTGTCAGAGTATTCTCAAAGATTGTGAATCTTGCCTCCAAATATGACTGCTCAATTCGTTGCAGTTTTCGAGATACGATGTTTTTGATTTTTTCAAAAATTTTCAGAAAACTTAAATTATTATTAGTTTTCAAAAATCTGAAACTCGCAACCCTGTAGTTGGTTCCTGTCAGAGTATTCTCAAAGATTGTGAATCTTGCCTCCAAATAAGACTGCTCAATTCTTTGTAGTTTTCGAGATATGACGTTTTTTGTGATTTTCTCAAAAAAATTTCAGATAACTTATATTAATTTTTTTTTCGTAAAATCTGAAATTCCCAATCCTATAGTTGGGTCCTGTCAGAGTATTCTCAAAGATTGCGAATCTTGCCCCCAAATATGACTGCTCACTTCTTTGTAGTTTTCGAGATAAGACGTTTTTTGTGATTTTTTCAAAAATTTTCAGAAAACTTCAGAAAGTTTAAATTAATTATTTTTCGAAATTTGAAATATCCAACGCTATAGTTCTGTGTTGTCAGGGTACGCTAAAGAGTTGCAAATCTTGTCACATGCGACTGCTAAACGCGACTGCTCAAATTCTTTTAGTTTCCGAGGTGTGACGTTTTTTTTTTTAAATTTCTCGAAGAACATATCTACAAAGAAATTCAAAAAAATTTGAAACTACTAACTTGATGAAGATACAACCTTTTTGTCAGCGTACACCTAGGCGTCTCCAATCTTGCCTCTTAATATGAATGCTCAAATACTTTTAGTTTCCGAGATAAGACGTTTTTTTTTCTTTTTTTTCGGGAAACTTAGTTTTAAAAAAGTTCACAAAATTTTGGATTCCTAACCCTATAGTAGGGGGCTCTCAGTGGTTGCAAATCTGGCCTCGAAATTTCTCCAGAGGCCAATTAAGTTTTCGAGATCACGCTTTTAAAATGGGAATAAAAAAAATGAAAGGTTCGAACTTACACACCCTGTAATTGGGTGCAATCAGAGTACACTAAAAGTTTGCAGATGTTGTTTTCAATATATGCGGTTTTTCATGAGCTGTCGGAAAATTTCGAAGCACCGAAGGTGCGTTAAACGCTAGTTTTTGTTTTAATTAAGCATCGATGAATGTAGTTAAGTTTCTTATATAGCTCTTGGCATTTTTTTTGCACGCTCAAATTTAATCTTTTGCAGTTTGACTTATGACTTGTAATCGGGAACTAGACTTTTTTCTCGTAAACAACTTTTCTTACAAGTTGCTTCAGTTACTTCCAAGTCCTCGCTGCGCTGGGCCTCCGATTCGCGGCTTTCTTTCAAATTTCCAATCAGTTCATTGTTTTCAAATTCTTTCCAGTCCGTTTTTTCTAATGAATTTTTATTTGACACGTTTTTTAGCGGCATAATTTTCAAAGAAGGCTATAATGATTTTTTATTTAATATAAACCGTTTATACTATAATTACTTTTGCGATAACCTAGGGTGTTGCAATCGGGTACAAGGTTTTATCCCGTAAAAAATTTTGTTCACAGAATGGTCAAAGTTAGAAATGCTGATTTAAGGTTCAGTTAATAATATGTTCAATTTCCATTGCGTCTCTGGCAAACTTGGCCTGGAGGTAACAAATACGCTTGGGACGGCAAAGGCCCTGAAATCAAATCTGACAGGACCTGTTTTTTTCTCAAACGTGAAATATTCCGTTTCAAAAAATTGTCGGGTTATTGTTTGTCTGCTTATGTTTTGTAAGCTTAGTTGGCACATCGTAGAGTTGTTTATTTTAACGCAAGTTACATTGTAGTTGCTTTTAGTGTTTTTTTTCTCCGCTTTTGTAATTTACTTACCCTGACCTGGTATATTTTCTCTTTTTTTTCATTTTTCTATCGCTTAACAATTTTTTTTCCCATATGATTTTGGTTTTTATTTTATACTTTTAAAAAACTTTTTATGTCGACAGTTTTGTTTTCGACCTAACGGGGTTTGACCCAATACCAGGGTACGAACCAATAATGGGGTCTATTCTGTCTTCTTCAAATGGTTGGCATGTTTAATGCGTGTTGTTTTAAACCAGTACTCGGTTGAGGGTGTGTTGTTACTGCTTCTTTTGTTCCGACTGTCAAAAAAAGTGACGGAAAATTGGTTCTCGTGTTTTTTTTTCTCCAGACGGATTATTTTACGGACTTTTTCACGTGCATTTTTGACGGATTTTTATACAGTCTGAAAGACATTGAATTCGTGAGCTTAAAATCTGAAACATTTTCCACCTACGATCTCTTTGTGTAAAGTTTGGGGTTTGCGTTTGGAGATACTTCGGCCAATTTGAACAATAAATGCGCGCTTTTTGTTAAGCAATTTTCTGTTTTTTTTGTGTGTGAAACGAAATAAATCATTCCAAATTAAACTGAGGTAATTTAGTTGCTCTAAATAATTTGCTGCTAGAGTTGTTTGGGCCAAGTGATATATTGTGTGTGTTTAGGGCGAGGTGAAGGAGTGTGAGGTGATGAGCTACGTGAGTCCGAATGAGTTGCTTCTGCATGTGTCTGACATGATAGACTACGACACTCTCTGCTCCGTGTGGAGTGTTGCCGAACTCACCACAGTTCCAAACTACGCGCCATTCGTTAGTAGACTTAACATCATTAAAGGGACGACCGACGTTTTGCATAGACGCCAGCATCCATGCCAAAATGTGATCTCGTTAAAAATATTAGAAGAGAGACGCATCACAGTCGTAATTTTTGACATGATGTTAAAATTGTTGCGTTCTCCATAAACTATTTTGCTCATGGGTTCATACCCCTCTCTAGTTTTTTTTCTACGAAGTTTTCCCACGTGAGAGTGAAACGGAAACGAGCCTGCCTGGTCTATATTTCAGCCTATGGAATTAGTGTGTGTACTGTACCATGACAATTGGTGCAGGGCTAACTGTCTCAGTGTGGGGGAGGACAAGACAGCCACTCTTTTCCTGGTCGACTGGGGGGATCTGATTAACATGCCATTCAATAAGATCAGACCAGCCCCAGATGATTGGGTCCGAGACTCCGACACTCAAGCTACTATCCAAGGATTGGCCATTAAAGTCTCTATGCAAGGTATGTTTTTAAACAGCTAGAGTTCTCACAAGGATATTAATTATCTGAAAATAACTAAGCTATGGTTTACTCTGCAAGGGCTTACATACAAAAAATAGGTTTTAGTTTTCAGATTTCCCAGCTCGAAAATTGACTAGAAAAATCTAATTTGTTTTCGGAGTCCTTGGGTTTTTTTAACATTTTCCTGCTACTAGCTACTACCTACAGTTTGATAGCTAGATTAAATTTCCACTTTTTAACTTTGTTTGCGAGTTCTTTTGGTATTTAGGGTTGTACTACCCGACTAAATTCACTACAGAGCAGATAGCAAAATTCAAAGAAATATGTAAACCGGAAAGCACTCAGCTCACTTTGAAAATAACTGAGTTGAACAAGCGACGTCGTGCCTATGATGGAACCCTAGAAGTTGCTAGCAAAGGAGACTTGCTAGACATCTGTGTAAGAGAGGGAATCGTGAGCGAAAGTTCAATTACGTCTTCAGCTTCGAGGTCGCTACCACCATCAGTTGCTGTGGGGCAAAGCAGCCCGAACGAAAGACAAACAGAGCCAAAAATGAATGGAAACCTGAATGGACCAACGTCATCAGTTGAGAATCATCAAAAATTTCAACAGCAGCCTATTGCGGAAGGGAATATGGCAGCTTTTTATGGTGAATTAATTACCACTTTTCCTTGGGAGAAAAATCTACGAATCGTCAAATATGGCGCTGCTTAGTTTTTCATAAATCTATCACTAGAAAATCGTGAACTTGATTTGATGTTGAGGCGAGAAGTTTTGGCCTAATTTGCGTTGACCTTTTTTCTGTTTCAGAAAAAGCCAGTGGCGACGTCTCAAGAAGCGACAAGGAGCAAATAGTCCATTTAACTCATGAAGTATCTAATTTGAAGTTGCAAATGCGACAAATGAAAGAGGAATTCGATTCTTTGAAACGCTCGATGGGAAGTCAATAAATTCACGAGACTGTTGTTCAAAACTTTACTTCTTTAGCATCTGCCTTTCAGGCTTTAGTTCAGAACATTATCATTTGAGTGGGAAATATTCAAATATTTCAGAGCTTCGAACTTTCGAAAATTCAAAGTGAAGATCTTGATTGTTTGTTTGTGGTAGATTCTGTTTACATGAAACTTTGATATCCTATCAGCTATTTTATGCTGTATTTATGTTGGTTGGTCTATTTATTTGATCGAATGTCAATGAACGAAGCGTTTTTTTCCTATTCATTGTTTGTAGATATAAAAACTGAATGGTGCTTCAATTCGGCCTCATTTTGGTTTCATATGTGGAGTTTTGGAATAACCAGCGAAACAATACAAATAATTTTAGATCAGACTTCTTCAAAGTTGGACTTTCCTCCAAATGATAAAACTGATCTGAAATTAAATTAGATTATCACGATAAATTATTTCAGACCAAGTTCTAAAATGATGTAATTTGGTCTCTTTCCTGACTTCGTTCACACTTTTCCAACGGCCTCGTTGGCTTTGGTTATTTAAGTTACTTTTCTATCGACAATTGAAATGAATTGAGTTTGTGAAATTGTTTTCAAAATTCCATTTTCATTAATTATATGAGTGGATAATTATGAGCTTTCTTTTTTGGAATTTTATTAAATACTGGCTAGGCGTTGAACATGTTTTGGCGTGGAGGTACAAACTCACTCTCTGACAGATTAAAGCTCAATCGTTTGAATAATCGATAATGAAGATGGTTTATCAATAGTTTTTGCCGGTTAGTATACAACCTAGAAAACCAATAAGCAGCAAGTTTTAACGTTTGTGAGTAGCAAGGGTTATTAAATTGGAACATATACTTTCTACAGGTCAATATTTCGCTTAACAAAACTATTATTGCTATAAAGTAGATTGGACTATTTCAAAATTTGCAATCCACAAATGAGTTCCCTTAAAAAAATTTCATGTTTTACATCAACTCATGGCATGGGAATTTTTCGAAAATTGAAAATTTAGTCGGTTGCGGAAAAAAATCAACACAATGTAAATAGATTCAATACAAACAATCTTGATATACCTCAAAAGTTGCATCGCCTGATTAGTTTGCTAAAAAAAACTGATCAGTTTTTGCAATACGATTCACTCTTTAATATAACTTAAAAGAAATCATAACTTTACTGCTTGAATTGCTGGCTTAGAAAAACTTGAAATGATGTCCATTGATTCGCGGTATTGCACGCCTAATAAAATCTTGGAACCTGCTTAAGATGATAAACGTTTGAAATGTTCCAAAGTTTTGTTGCTCCACCGAAAATAGTTTGTAACTTTGTTGATTAATGGATTCAAACTGTCATCCTCTAATAATTAGGTCAAGATGTTTTTTTTTTGCTGAAATATGAGAGGGCCAATTTAGCTTTTTGTCTTTCGCTTTGTGTCCAAATAGTTTTTTTGAAGCTTCTGTTTTTTTAATTTTTGAAAACTGGCTTGCTTGTTTTTTCTTGCCCTCTTATTATCGCTTAAATCTTTTTTTGGTTTTGAACTCATCAAATTGATGAACACAACTTTTAAGAATACTGGTAGTCTCAATTATAAAGGTAAATGATATGGCGTGGGGATGGATAATTTCCCATTTCAGCAGTTAACAAGACTGCTCGTGTTTCAGTGCAAAGCCTTGAGTGTTCGTACCGCACGTAAGGCCAATTGAAAAGTTTTTTTTTTGGTTAAATAATAAGTAATTGAGAAGAAAAGAGTTTTTTTTTTTCATTTTTATCCCCCACACGCTATGTAAAAAACTATGCGTGTGTTTAGCGTCTCGTGTTGTGATAATAGCATTAAATTGCTGGACTCAATTTAGTTTGGAACGCATTAGTTTGCTTTTCACGCGTGTTATAAGTACACAATATGTCGCACTTAAAATATCCCAATTTCGCAATTTTCAAACGCCCGTAACTTCACGAAAAATGATCTCAGGTGAAATATCTTTTTAAATTTGAGCTTAGAGATGGTATAAAAAATTCTGTCAAAAAAGCTTAGTAAACAAATCGAAAAATGACTGAATAAAAAACCACACATAGCATAGATATTCTGCACTTTTTCCGAAAGTCTGAAGAAAAAACGAGTGAAAAAAAGCAATGATCTCAACTTTTGAAACTGGAGTCAATATCAGCTAAGTTTTGTGTGTATATCAGCTAAAAGGTGTACAAGTTTCCGACAGACAACTCAACTAGATCATAAGTGCTTTATTTTTTGTTGAAAATAAATAGAAAATCAGTTGTACGCCATTGACTGTACATAATCAGTCAACTAATCACCACATAGCAAGATGAAGCGATTTTTTTTAGCAGAATGGGAATTTTCGATCGCTCTTATCTAGTGTAGATCATGAAGTTATTCAATAGAAGTTTCATAGACAGTTAAGATTTTTAGTTTGGCATTTTCAATTTGCAGAAACTCAAAAGATTTTTCATGGAGGCACTTAGCATAGTGATAACACCTTCACGATCTTCAGATCCTGTAATCAATCTGCCATGGCAATGAAAGTTTGTGAGGACGAGCTCTCTTTTGAACTCTAGCTTCTGCTCTACCATAGCCTGACCGATTACAGCTGCAATACGGTGCTGATTTAAATTAACCGGACAAAACGCGTTAAACTTGAAATTTAAAACGCCTTTTTTTCAAATTGGGTTGAATTAGGTGAAAACTTATCAAGACAAAACTTGCCTAAAATTTTGGCAGAATTAAAATGGTGTAATTTATTTGCAAAATTCGGGCGAAAAAATTTTCCCCTAAAAAGGGTCAATTTGGCTTTTCTTAGTTAATCAAAAATTACGCCCAAAAAACCCAGTCGAGCAGAGACATGATCATATCAAAGTGAGTACCTTACGTAGTCCAAGAAATTTTATGGAAAATATTTTCTCCAAAACTTTGTATAAGTTTATTTATTTTTGTTTGATAGACAAAAAAGGTCGTTTTTACTATATAAAATACCAATTTTTTATTTAAAAACAATTTTTAAATGGTTTGCAATTTTTTTTTGCAGATTATACGCTTCTTAAAGTTTGTTGGACTAAGTGAGGTGCTCACTTTGATATAATCATGTCTGTGGTCGACTGGGTATTATAGGCGTAATTATTGAATAACTAAGAAAAGCCAAGATGACCCATTTTTCGGGCAAAATTTTCACCTGAATTTCGCAAAAGAAATTACACCATAATAATTCTGTTAAAATTTTAGGCAAGTTTTGTCTTCATAAGTTTCCACCTAATCTCAACCCAGTTTGAGAAAAACGCGTTTTAAACTTCAAGTTTAGCTCGTTTTGTCAGGTTAATTTAAATCAGCACTACTGTTACCACGTGAAAGTTCTAGACGCAAAAACACGGCCTTGAGCCGCAAAAAAAAGAGCTTTGCTCAACAAAATAACTCAGTCTGAAAAGTGGGGAAACAAGAGAAACGGACTGTGAATAGACAGGCTGGATAGCTTTTCATAGATCCTCTACGAATCGCAGAAACCACACTTATTATGATTATTGTTATTGTTATGTAGTTCAATGTCTTGTTCTCTTTCAAGATATACATATATATATTTTTCTTTATTTTTTTTCCTCATGAATACTTTCAAATTTCAACGCAATCAGTCAATTAAAAATTAGTTTGAGATTTAAGAAGCTTCGATGATTCCATAGACTGCAATGAAGTCGTTGAACAACTTCTTGCTTTAATCAGAGGATTTTTGTTGTAAGCTCTTTTAGGGCAGACATTCGTGTTTTTTTTACACCTGCGATTGGCAGGTGTTTATCGAATTAACCAAACTAGATCCCACCAAATCGATTTAGGGAGGAGAAATTTTGAATTTTTCAGGCAATATTTTTGAATAACGTCCATATTTATACAAAATTAACAGTTTTAAAAAAGAAAAGTGACTGCAAATACATTATTTTAGGTCACTAAAAGTATTCAAATGCAATCCAAAATGATAATTTTGAAAATAACTTTTGCTTGTGCGTTTTCTAGCACATGCATACTTTTTACACTGGCGTCAGCTTAGTGTGTTGTTACGAACAGAAGCTTCTGTACACTAACGTCAGCTTAGTGTTATTAAGAACCTTCCTTTTTTCTAACCTCAGACGCAAATGTTGATGCCACTTTTTTGATAGCATGTGCTTTGAAATTCAAATTGTAATTAGTTAACACAGTTGATGAATTTTTAATTCATCAATTGAACCGAAAAAATGTTACTTGTTTCAAACAAACAACAATCATAGAAACCGTATTTTAGAAATTTTCCAACCCAATATCTCTCGCAATTTTTTGAAAAGCACAATTTATACATAAGTTGGCCTTATGCTTTCCAATTTGTTATATGACTAGTTTATGTGTATTACTTCAGTTTTTTCTATTCTAAATTATTTCTAGCAAAATTGCGTTTATTTGTATTTGGTGCCACTTTTGCTGAATCGATTTGGCAATTAATTAGCATATTTAGCTGCTTTATTGGTGACCAGTTTTTGTCGGTGGTTGGTTAAGCAAGCGTTGCTGAGTGGTTAGAAAAGAGATTCAAAATCTGTTGAATGCAGAAGGTCGCAGATCGAATCCTAGAGCTAGGCGAATTGTTACTAATTCGAGGCTTATTTCAGTTTTTTTCTTATTGCCTTTTCTAGAGCTGCTTTTTGTCGTGTTCTCGCTAGTGTTTGAGAAGCGTAGCTTAGCCTCTGTTTTACATAATTATTTTTCAGAATAAATATATGCTTGGGGAAGACATTCTACGGTAGGTCACTTAGGAGGAGAGGGGTAAACTGTATGCTTGATCCGAGTTGTTGGGTAGATCCTAACAAAACTACTTTTTAAAATTTTTACTAACGATTATCCATTTGTTTAAATATCTCGTAAGAAACCATAACATAGTTGAATTTAAACAATTAACGCCCTGGCCTACAAGTGCTGAACTTAAGAAAAACTTAATACTGCTCCTGTGAATAGTTTTGCTCTTCTTCATTATTATTTTTTACTTGGGTACTTTTTTTTTTAGTTTTTTTCCCGTAAATAAGTTTGTTCACATGATCTCCATTTTCTAAAAAATATTCAGTTTCACCCTAGTTTTACTTTTAACAGCTCTAATCTTTGGTCTAGAGTTACTTGTTTAAGTTACTTGTTTACTGGACCTACAGCTGAAAAAAATTTTCACTTTTAAAATGATTTTTTTTTCGCAGGCTTAAATGACTACGTCCCAGTATTTATCGGCTCATTTGCTGGGTCATTTTTAGTAACCGTATATTGAATTCATTTGTTTTTGTTTTCAATTCAATCTTGAGGACCGTAACTACATTTCATACATTTTGTTGTTTCTATGTACGCTAATTTTTTCGGTATAAAAAAAATTGTAACAATTTTTCGTTTGAATTTTTGTCAAAACGTTTAATTTTTTGAATGCTTGGTTGTCGATTTAATTTTTGATTGCAGAGTGTGTGCGGTTAGGTTAACTGAAAGCATCTTAGCGTCCAAGTTTCTGTGAGCAAATTCAGAGAGACCTGTTTTTTTTTTGCAAATGAGAGATTTTTTGCTGTTTCAGATTATCGCTCGTTTCTTATATTT